ATCTAAAAATTAAATAAAGACTCAAACTTACAATTTTCTCTTAAAAAGAAACCAAATAACTGATTATGGCTTGACTCTCTTCGGGTCCCCAGTGGAGTCTCAAGTTGTTGCAACGGTCCTTCAAGTGGCTCGGGATCACATTTCGACTTAAAGTGAATAATTAACCTTTTTGGAGTCACCAACAACCTTTTTGGATTAGGTAAGGTCGGATACCTAAATTTTACCTCTTATCGGATCTACGTCTTACCAAAGATTCACTTGGAAGTATTCGGGAGTTGATTACTCGTGGGGAAGGATGATCACCCCCACATCGCCCTTTCGGTACCAACACGATTACGAGTTGTCTTAATAAAGAAAATTAAAATTTAAGCCAAAATTTAAAGAAGATATCCAAATTACTTACATTTAAGAATTTGTTACTATAAAATAAATGAAATAGAATATAAAAAATGAGTCTAATATGCAAAACTAAGAAAAAGAGTCACGGGTACCAAAATAAAAAGAACAATTCAAATCACACATGTCAATATAAATTAATAACAAATTTTAAAGGGCATACAAGAATTAATACAAAATACTCAATAAATAAATAAATAAATTGTATATAAAAAGAAATAAAAAAATTATTAATAACAAAAGAACATTTTAGAATATTAAACTAAAAAGGAAGGAAAGTTAAAATAAAATAAAATTTTAATTACCACCCGAAAAAACAAATCTAACATGAAAAAGGAAATCAAAGTAAAAAAATAAAGGAAAGAACAAAAAAAATTAAAACACAATCAAATTAAGAAAATAAAACTAAGAAAAAAATCAGCATCAATTAAAACAAGATTAAAGAACCAAAGAAGAATTAAAACAAAGAGTTTGAATATTTTTAAAAAACAAAATGAATTAAACAAAAATTGGAAATATTTAAAAGGAATCAAAGAAAATTAGCAAAAGGATGACCAAATTGAAATTTTAAAATAGAAAAAAATTAAACAATTAATTTCTACCCCTGTAAAACATACAGATTCCATAGGAATTTCGATCGACTCATTAGATTATTTAATTGAAAACAAATACCCAAATTTTAAAATACTAATTCATAAAAAAATAAAAATTATTTTCCCATTCACTACAAGAAAATATATCTTTAATGACACACGAACGATAACACACGCTAATTTATGACTTGCAAAAAATGTGTGTCATAAAAAAATGTCATGTTTCTTAAAATCTGAACGATTTATGACTTACAATAATGTGTGTCATATTTAATAGTCATAATCAAAAAAATTTCAAAAACATGAAGTACACTTTTAATTGTGTGTCATCTGTAAAAGTCGTCTTTTAATTTCGCCATTATTTTCATCATGTACACATGCTTTCCCGCTTTAAATGCTTTCAAAAACTTTGGAAACAGATTTTTGGGTTACGCTTTCTTTCCTTCTTTTCCCACTAAGTCGATGGACCCTCGAGGCGGTGAACTCCTTCTCGATGCCGAAACCAACCATTTTAGATCCTCCAACAATCCTGAAGACGACAAGTCTACTCCTCACACCGGCGATGGCGCCAGTCCTGGGTAAATATATTCCCCTTTCTTCTGTTTGTTTCTTGAGAAAAATTGGGGGTGTCGAGGAAAATCCTGAAATTATCGATTACCATTGCTTAATTACACATGAAAAACGTAAATTGAATCGTTATTTGTATACACATATGTATATGTTCCTTTAGATTTACTCTGTTTCCTGATAGAATTATAGAAAAAGTAATGAGAAAAATTGAGCCTTTTTCCTTTACCTTTTAGTTAATGACTTTGAAATTATTCTCAAATTTAAGTGAAATGGTAATACCCATTTTTTTATTTTCATTTTTTGTTATAAGTTTGGAATTTATATCATTTTAAAATAAAAGGGAAAGAGGAAGAATTAGGGTTCTTCTTTTCTCTTTTTCTTTAGACTTATGTAGGATTATATTGATATGTTTAGAGGTATATGTTTCTTTGAAAGGCCATTTTTATCATGAATACTTTGGAAGTGATTTGTGAATATATTCAATATTTGGAAATTTTCAGCAAAATATTTGTAGGAGGTTTAGCGAGAGAGACAAGTTCGGGTTAGTTCTTTAGCTTGTTTGTTGGAGATTTTTATTAATCTCCTTGAATATGATTATAGCACGAATTACTTTCCCTGTAGTCTGTTCCGATTTGGTTATTTTACGTATCTTCTGCAATACAATTTCTTGAACATTTTGGTAAATATGGTGAAATTACGGACTCTGTGATAATAAAGGACCGGAAAACAGGACAGCCTTGTGGATTCGAGTTTTTGACTTATGTAGAACCTTCTGTGGTTGATAAAGTCATTGAGGACACTCATGTTATTAATGGGAATCAAGTAAGACTCCGCTTTGGTCTCAATGTTTTGTTTATTGTTATGTTTCCTTACCATAGTCTGGTGTATGTTGCTTTGCTTTTGACTTGAATTACTGCTCTTTGGCTCGGTTTTTGTCCTTTTAGGTAGACATTAAGAGAACAATACCAAAAGAATCTTCTGGACGTAAAGATTTCAAGACTAGGAAGATTTTTGTAGGTGGAATTCCTTCAATTGTATCTAAAGGTGATACCAGTATCTTCCTTTCTTTAATGCATATAATATTGAAGCTTCACGCCATTTATCCGGAATGCCTTGATTCTCATAGATATTTCTCATAAATGTTAATATATTTGGTGCAAATTGACAAATGAGTTCAAGGACTACTTTACACAATATGGAGAAGTAATAGAACACGAAATCATGCGGGATCATGCCACCAATCGTTCCCGTGGTTTTTGGGTTCATTACTTTTGAAACAAAACAAGTGGTTGATGATCTCTTGGAGAAGGGAAACAATATTAACTTTGCTAGAGCTCAGGTATGAAGATTGCCCGTTGAATTGATGTTTCATGAAATATCTTATCGTCTTTATGGGCTATCATCTTTTTTCACTTTTAGATGTTACCAAATTATGGCATTTCCATGAACGCGTACCATTTTGCTTTGACGATATTTTACTTTCAGACCTTAATTATATTAGTTGTAGTTCTTTTTACCCTAGCAGAAAATGAGTAAGGTGAATTTAGAGAATCCATTTTGTTATGTTAAATTTTAGAAACAATAAAATGAGTATCATGATGTCTTCCTTTGCTGGTAGGTGGAGATAAAAAGGGAAATCAAGTTATACATTAGGCAGCCTCAGTTCATGAATGAAATCAAAATTTAAGAGCCATATGTAGTAAAATTTCAGAGCTGAAACGGATATATAGTAAAATAATTAGGACGTAAAGAGACACCTATGCTAAACAGGTTTAAAAGGTTAGTGTGTATTAAAAGGAAAGAATTAAAAGTCTTCACCCACAAGTGGAAAAATATAGTGATTGTCATGATTACTTTTGCAAAAATGGTGTACACATAATCATTCCTCAAGGCAAGTTAGTTGTTTAATCACATCAAGTTGCCAAGCAACATAATTTAGAAGACAAATCAAGAGCCGACTATTATGTACTTGTACTGATTTTCTTCTCAAAACTTGAAATACTTCTGCCCTCATTGACAAAAACCTAAGAAACTTTTTAGCTAGGATATTTTCAAGTTCATCAGCCTGTTTTACCATTACAAGAAGAGGAAAGTACATATATCACTACTAGAAAAAAAAAACCCTTTAATGACGCGCATTGCGCGTCATCTATGGGTGCAGATGAGACACAAATGTCTGTCGTTGAAGCCACCGACATGAATCTTAGATGATGCGCAATTGTGTGTCATAAATCTATGACGCGCATTGATGACACGTATTTACGACGCTCATTTATGAAGCGTAATGCATGTCATTGAAGCCCCCGTCATAAATGAAGATGACACACATTTTGTGTGTCATAAATTTATGACACGCATGTATGACTTACATTGCGTGTCATTGAAGCACACGTCATTAAAAAATATGACACACATTCGTGTGTCGTGATTGTATTTCGTAAATTATATATATATATATATTGTAGATTGACAAATAATCAAACTAAATCACATTTAATGCCTCATAATACTAAATATATATATCATATTATATATAAGCAATCCATTTGCATACAATATATTCACTTTAAGTTATCAAAAATATTGTAATCATATGTCGATACAAGGAACAAATAAAACAAATTAAAGAACAAAAACCTGATTCAGCCATTAATCACACAGTAACTTCATAATCCTACTACAGTAAACTTGAACATCTAAAAACTAACAAAAGTAAAATATATTCATTCAAAAGCTGAAGGAATATAATGAATTGTTACAGGACCTTTTACAGCAAAAAGTATCTTAGTCACATCTACATCCAGAAGAAACTGCAAGGAAACAAAGAAAACAATAGTCAAACAACACCTCTTTTTCATACGTAACATGCAGAATATGAACAATGAAAATGGCATCACCTTGAAAGTTAATGTGTTCATTGATGACCCCAAGCATTGCAGTGGATTGCGTTTTATGCAAATATTGCAACAGAAGATCATAGGAATATTGTCGAAGTGATTGACAAAAAATTCAGCAGTAAATGAGGAAATGAATATATTCTTTTATTATCTATTAACAGTTACCAAAGAAACAATTTACGGATTTTACCTGACATATCTTGATGTTAACTTTACTCTGCCTAAGAGAACGAGCAAATTTCATCTCCTAATTAAAGAAACAACTGATGGCAAGTACAAAAAATGGAAGTGATTAGTAAGTAAAGAAGAAGAAGAAAGAACAATATGTTCCACCTCCAAATGAGACTAAGAAAGAACCCCTTCCAACTTTTGAAGGTCTTGTGAGTGCATCAATTTCAAAATGTTAAGTGATTTACCTCCAAAATAACTTTTCTTCCGCTTCTCTGATTTAATAAAAAAATTAGTTAAAAAAGAAACAAATAACCTTGAAGAATTAAAATATCAAAAACAAAGAGAAGAAAATAGTTAGCTTCGACTCACAGAGAAGTATTAGTCTCATTCCTTGTCCAGGTAGTGCCGATCTTTAAAAAACTGAAACGATAGGAATTAAACAATTTCAAAATCACTATTCCAAGGAACATAATAAAATTTATGTAGCAGTGGTTCTATATAAGTTGCAGCTTTTCGAAGTGATCCCAAAAAGAACCTTGTTGTATGTCACAACCATTGCTAGTACAAAGATTAAACCGAAATTTAGTAACATTCGATCCTCAACCTTAGGTATCTATTATAGCATTTAACATTATTTAACAGCCAGTCCAAAATCCAGGTTTGGGGAGTAGATGTAGTGCATTTAAGTAATAACACAGCATCTCAACAATGACCTTAGTAGATATAAAAAAGGGGTGAAAACAACTTAAACAAAACTGCAAGAGGACTAACTTTATCTTGATGCCGCCTGTAGAATTGATCCCAATACTTCTTAGCATCTCTTTCATACTTAACTGCAAAACAAAAGATCAAACTTAAAGCACCATGTATCGACTCAATGCAGGCCCATAACTGTGAGTAAAAGAGATCTAATTTGAGCACCTATCCAAAAGGGGGAAACTCAAATGGTAGTGGGTGGGTATATTTGTATCCTCTGCGTTGGTTGTTGCTGTTCACACCAATTTACATTTCGGACTCCATTATTGGACCAGCCTTAATGAAGAAGAAAAAAAGCATAGTTTTGAACTTCCTGAAATATGAATTTTAATTCACAAATCTTAGAAGCGGAGAATTAAGATACGAAACATGCATGTAATAGTGGACTCAGGGATCATCTTTTTTTTAACTTATTAACAACGATATGTGATCCTGACAACTTTGGTAGAAACATAATCCACGAACATTTGTAATTTATAAAATAAATAAATACAAGAACGATTGAAGACAGTGACTTCACCAGGCCTAATTTCCTCGTTACAGAACTGCTGACATGAATCAAATAACAAAATGTTGCTTTAGCTTACCTACTAAACGAAGTCTTCAAAAAAAAAATTCAGCGTGCAATGGCGGGAGTAAAAATTTGCAAAGTATCAACACACGGTAACTTGGTTTTGAAAAAATAAAAACAATTCAGGAGCTAAATATTCGGTGGCGGGTCCCGACAGCAAGATACAAAGCACTCAACAAGTGCTAATATCATGGATGCAATGATAGATGAGAAATGATAGCTTAGAGGAAGTCAACCCACAATCACTAGAAACACAGTTTTTAAATCTTAACAATCTTGTACGTAATTCCATAGGATCACCATGCACCTTTAACATACACAAAACACCACCCTATAAATACACTAAAACACGCAAAAATATTGCACCGCCTACATAAAGATGAGAGGCCAAGTTCTAATTTACATTCTTCTACTAGCATGGTTCCTGCTTATAGATTCTCAACCCAAGGGCTCCCAAATCGATGTTCAAGCCATTGAATCAGGCAACCTTCTTTCTCATTCTCAATTGCTTAAAGCATTCAACGTATATCATACACCTACATCAAGCACATTTACAAACTTTTGTAGCTTCTAAATTGTAATGCATTAATGTTTTTTTCCTATAGTGCCAACAGTTCACTTCAAGTTCAAACTCGAAGCCTAATATCGAGACCACGTGCTAGAAATGCATTACCTACCTGGGTAAGAACTGTGTAATCTCTTTCAGCTTAAAACTGTTGTATTTATCTAGCTAGTATAACTAAATCCATTAGCTAAAAAAAAATTCTCGCTGCGATGAAAAACAGGTTGAAATGAAAAAGATTCATAAATCCCCATCCGGACCGAACCCATTAGAAAATCAACGGCCACCATCTAGGCATTAAAACAATGGATGCAACAGCCAACGTGGAAGATAGGGTAAGGCGACACAAATTGTATATGGAGGTGAGACGTCTCTGTGTAGGACAAGGATTTTACTTGTAAAAATTTATATGCGAAAGCAAGTATTGATGTACTATTATATGCTTCTAGCATGTACGAAAAGTTCTAAATGAGTTCTAGTTTGGTGTGTAATGGTATGTTCGGTTTTCTTCAGTCAGAAGGTAATCCCATGTCCTAATTATGATATTCTGCTTTATAATGCTTCTATACAATAAATTCATACTACACTATCACATGTTTGCAGAAAGAAACAGTCATATTTCACACGTGAAAGGAACTGAAACAGTTTTAAACAAAGAATTGACAAATCTTCATGAGAGAGAAAATACCCCTAGGTTCAGATCATATAAAAGGAAGCAATGAAGGCGCAACTACTAGCACAGCAAGATCCATGAAATAAATAAAAATAAACTACCTGAAAGCTTGAGTACTACTGAAAGCAGGCTACCATTCGAAGAGAAAAAAATTTCATCAACAACAGGGGAATTCGAACAGAATGAAGGAAACAGAAAGAGAAAAAAATGAAGAGGAGAACACAAGGAAAATATGGAAGGGAAATTTTTTGTAATGGGGGAATATTAGAAAACTCAACAATAAATATCTGTAAAGTGGATTTGCAATTGCAACCGAAGAACACCCGTTTTTTTTTAGCTTTTGAAGGGTATTTTCTATTTCTCATTTCATGTTGTTCTTTCCATTTTTTTTTACTTATGTTTGTGTTTACATTGTTTTGAAACAAATAGGAATCGAGAGAGGAATACCTGGGCTGTGCACACATTAATGGAGTCTCGTTAACTCTATTTTACCGTCGTTCGGTTTCCTTTGTAAAGGATAGGAGTGAAGTTAGTAAATAAAATCATTTTTGAATCAAAATAGTAAAGATCAACGAGAGAGAGAGCTTACCTTGGCCGAGCGTCGGGGCTGTTGTCGGGGTGGTTCTCGACATTTTATCGGTGGACTGATAAAAAGAGGAAAAGGGGGAAGCATGCGGCGAGAACTAATTTTGGAGGGGGAAGAAGCGGACAGGAAAAAATAATGGGGGAAATTAAAAGACGACTTTTACAGATGACACAATTAAAAGTGTACTTCGTGTTTTCGTAAAATTTTTGGATTATGACTATTAAATATGACACATTATTGTAAGTCATAATCGTTCAAATTTTAAAAAATATGATATTTTTTTATGACACACATTTTTTGCAAGTCATAAATTAGCGTGTGTCATCGTTCGTGTGTCATTAAAGGTATATTTTCTTGTAGTGTATTAGAACAAAATGGGAGGAAAATGCAAAACTTGTCCTGATATTAGTTAAGATAAACTTCTTATCTTGAATCCAACAAAGTATAATAGAAGATAAGACATCATCCTATGAAGAGCAGTTCATATTTTAAAACAATAGATTCCCTTTTAACATTAGATGATTAGGAGAAGAAAATAGGAGATATTTTCTCCTGAATAATTCATCTCAGGCTGAAAGAAAACTTCCCTTTGAAAAATCAAAAACTAGATTTCAAAAGTTGAACCAAGTTCAACTGAAATCAAGGGAAATAAATTATTCCAATTTTTTTTGGGGGGGCGGAGTGGCCAAGTTGCCTTCTCTGCATAATGAAGTTTCTTAATTAAGCAGGATCCTAATTTGTTGAATTATTGCCATTTGTCTTGCTTCATGTTTTCATATCTTAATGTCTTTCCCTGAAACTGGTTCTGACAGCACTAATTTATTTTTCTTATACTTTTAATGAAAATTAAATTTTAAATGCATTTAAGTTGTTGAGTTGCCAAAAGGTTTATGCTATAGGCTGCAAATTACTTATACGATATGGAGCTTATTATGTACTGGCTGTGCAAAATTTTGACATCTTTGTTTTATTTTGCTTACCTTTTGTTGATATTGTTTTTGCATATTCTAAGCATCCACATTTTTTTTGTCAATACAGGTTTGGCAACACTACCTATTTGCACATATTTGTGGTTTTTATCCAGATGCTCAAAGCTCTAAGTATGTGAAAACAAAGTGCATTATTTGATTACATCCAATGAAATCACTCTATGTGAACTAGGACTATATTGTTGAATTCATAGGCTTTGGTTTCAATTCTTCTTTGTGTAGCATAGATAGTGCATATGATTACAATATTTTTTATAACTTAATGTGAATATATTGTATACAAATGGATTGCATATATATAATATGATATATATATATATATATATATATATATATATATATATATATATATATATATATATATATAAGTATTATGAGGCATTAAATTTGATTTAGTTTGATTATTTGTCAATCTACAATATATATATATAAAATTTACGAAATACAATCACGACACACGAATGTGTGTCATCTTTTTTAATGATGTGTGCTTCAATGACACGCAATGTGAGTCATACATGCGTGTCATAAATTTATGACACACAAATGTGTGTCATCTTCATTTATGACGGGGGCTTCAATGACACTCAATGCTCGTCATAAATGTGCATCATAAATGCGCGTCATAAATTTATGACACACAATTGAGCGTCATAGATTTATGACACACAATTGCGCGTCATCTAAAATTCATGTCGGTGGCTTCAACGACAGGCATTTGTGTATCATCCGCACCCATGGATGACGTGCAATGCGCGTCATTAAAGGGTTTTTTTCTAGTAGTGATTCAAAATCCACCATTGGTTTTCATCAAGAAACCTCAAGGAAGACTAAATCTGTGAAGATTCATTAGAAAATCATTTTCCTTGTTCATCGATTTTCTCTCATCTAATGAGATTTTCAAACAAAATCAAGATCGAAGCAATAAACACAAAAGTAATAAAAAAATATAAAAAAGAAAATCGTTGGTTTTCACTAAGAAACCTCAAGAAATGTTAGATTTAGGAAAATCGATTCAAGAGTATTTTTCTTATTCATCGGTTTTTTCTCATCCGATAGAGTTTTTTAGGGGGGGAAAAAGAAAGAGAACGAGGTCGAGATCGACCGAAACAACAAAGACAATAATAAAAATAAAAGACAAGGAATTAACTAGGGATGGCAAAAAAACCCGAACCCGACGGGGAAAACCGAAAACCGAATTAAACGGGTCGGGTTCGGGGATGATAAACAGGGATGGGGATGGGGACGGGAAAAACCCATTTATTTTAAACGGGGACGGGGACGGGGATGGGTTTGGTAATCCCCGCCCCGATTACCCGATTACCCGCCCCGATTACCCGCCCCGATACCCGACCCGATAAATATTAAAAATAATTATTTATATATATATATATATATATATAATATTAATAAATTTAATTTAAATAAAAAATATATATTTATATATTTAATTTAAATATATATATACCCGGCCCGATTCTCGGCCCAATACCCGACCCAATACCCGGCCCAATACCCGTTTAAATAACCGTTTATGCTAAACGGGAATACCCGTTTCCCCGCGGTTTTCCCCGATTACCCGACGGGGATCCCCGTTTAAATCCCCGCGGTTTTTTAAACGGGGACGGGTACCGGTTTTTTAAACGGGGACGGGGACGGGGGGGACCAATACCCGGCCCGAACCCGGCCCGTTGCCATCCCTAGAATTAACTTTAAACAACAATACACTTTTATTGCTCTTGTTTTTCGAACTACAATAGGTGATTCTTTTCTTCCTTTTTTTCCCTTTCCTTTTATTCTCTGCCTAATTACAAAATAAGAGTGTTTATTTATAGGCTC